AGAGAGAGAGAGAGAGAGAGAGAGAGAGAGAGAGAGAACGAACTACCACTGGCCTTAACTGACTTCTGGTGTTTTATATCATAGCCATCTGAAATAGGATTTTTTATGTTTTGACTCTCCTGCTTGTAACGCATGTCCTTCCTGGTTCCTTCAGGTGACCATGTCCAGCATAAATAGCTGAATCCAAGAGATTGTCAATAACTCTTTGAAGGAGGAGGTGATGCCCCCTGCCTTGAAGAAGGCAGTAGTGCATCTCTCCCCAAGAGTCCTATCCTAGATCCAACCATTTTTGACAACTTTGACAAGTCTCCAGTGTTTCCTTTTCCAGGGAAGTTGTAGAGAAGGTAGTGGGTGCTCAACTACATCATGCCCTAGGGGAAAAGAATTATCTAGATACATACCAGTCAGACTTCATACCAGGTAATGGGATGGAAATGACATTGGCCACCCTAGTAGATGACCCCCCCCCCCAGGGAATTTAATAAGGATAATGTGCCCTTCTTGGTCCTATTACATCTTTTGGTGCATTTGTTAACATCAACCATATCTTGCTGGACCACCTTTAAATATTGGAATTTGGAAGGCATCATCTCACAGTGGTTCTGCTCCTACCTGAGTATGTGATTCCAATTCATAATCACAGGGAGGCAGCTCTGGAGTCACTCTAATGTGGGGTGCTGCAGGGCTTGTATTCTCTAAATGTTACTTATCATTTCTATAAAGCCATTGGGAGAGGACATATGTCAGTTTGGGGTTATGTTTAACCAATATACTGAGGACATATAAGGTTATTTCACCACCCTGGGTTGAGACAGAGGTGCCATAGACACCCAGAACTAGTGGCTGAAGGCTGTCAGGATCTGGCTGGGGCAAAACAAGCTCACATTAAATTCTTCCAAGACTGAATTTTAATTTTCATCAATAAACATTGACTCAGTCTGGCAACAATAGTCACACTTTTCCTGAAGTTATTCCATGCCTTGAGAGTCTTATTGGACTCATGGGCCCTCTTTAAAAGGGTTTCTTTGCCCATCTTCAGTTGGTGTGCCAATTGCAGTCCTATCTCAACCAGAATGCCCAGGCAATAGTTACTCACACCCTTATCATCACACAGTTGGATTACTGCAATGTACTCTGCACTCAGTAGCCTTTGGAAAGGATCCAGAAAGTCCAATTAGTCCAGAATATGGCAACCAAGCTGCTGGTAGAACAACCTCACCATTGCAGAGTAACACTGATTTTCAAGTCACTGCAAGTGGCCTTCAAAGGCAGCTCCTTGTAAAGCACATTGCAAAAAGTTTAAGCTTTCATCAGAAATCAAGTCTAGCCCGAGCACCTGCTTCTGCCAAAATATGAAGAAAGTTGAAGGTACCTTCTTGCCAATTTATGATGAGATAGGAACAGGTCACTCTGACTTTTTTAACCCTTTCATGCTGTATCTCTTTCATTTGCATATGCCCTGTAATGGGGGATTTTTATCTCTCTTATTGCTAGATGGCATATGTAATACACAGACCCACATCTCTACATATATGCACACACACACCCAATATGAGAATAACTCTTCATTTGTGTTTGTTAATCTCTACACACCCAAGGATTCTTCCTATTGGGAGAACTGAACTGAACCTCAGCAGGCCAGATGATCTCATCTCTTGCTCCATGCAAGAACAGTTGGTGGGAGACAAGTATTTTTTCTCTCTCTCTGTTGCTGCACAAAGAAAAATGGTCAGTGGAGGATGAAATAGGAAGCCAGTGCTCTGTGCCAGAGAGACTCCATTCCATCAAAAACATGGCTGGAATGTATTGAATAGAAACCCATTATCCAATCACCCTAAATAAACACCATATCCACAGAAGTCTTGTTGGAGAGTATGTTCCATTATAGTACACCTACAGTTCTTCCTCATCAGCCTATTCTGCTTGTAGGAACAATTGCAAGATCAAAGGAAGTGATAGGACTATTGCATGCAGACTGACTTGATGTCCTCCATTTAAAGTGGTTGTCAGCTTTCTTCATGCAGACTACCCAATTTATGATTAGCTACAGAACTCACAAGTAGTTTCCTTGGAGGCTTACTTGGGGGGGGGGGGGTCCCTCATCTTTCAATGATGTTGTAATGGCTGTGGCTTGCTTCCAATTGTTTTGAAGCTACTCACATTAGTTTGAGTTGTCAGCTGAAGGCCAGAAGCAAACACCTAAGAAATTGTGAACTCTGTCCACTCAAGCAGCTATAAAGCTCATTGATGCTGACAGTGTGACCCAGCAAGTGATCTGTATGTCTCAACAAAATGAATCAATGGCAGGGGTAGATACAGACACAGATGCATCATCTTAGTTGTTCTTTGGCTAAGAGACTTTACTTCTAGCCTACTGGTTTGCCACTGCCTCATTCTTCACCCCACTCTCAAGCTGAATTTCGTAGACACTGTGGTGGTCTGGCTGTTTTGGGTAAAGAGACGTTGACAGACTCTACTTACCAAGGAGCATTGGTGGGCAGGGAATGTTACAAGTACACTAGACAGTTGAAGAAGAAAAAAGGTCATTGGAAGAATATCTGAAGGACAGTGAAGAAGATGCACTGAAGCTAGTACACCATGAAGGCTTACTGAATACCAAAGAAACCAAACTGGCCTACAGAAAAGACCAAATGAAGAACAGAAAAGAGACATGGCAAGACAAAGTATTACACAGCCAGTACACACCCACACCCACGTACAAAATAGCAGGCAAAGCAGATAACAACAAGACCTGGCAATGGCTAAGAGCAGGAAAGTTGAAGAAAGAAACAGTGGGGCTGATTCTGGCTGCAGAAGACCACGCTTTAAGAACAAATGCATACAAAGCCAGAATTGAGAAAACAGCAACAGACAGCAAATGCCACCTCTGCAAAGAAG